AGAGATTAACACCAAGATTATCACCAGACATACAATCAGCAATAAACAATACCCTAATCAAAGAACTACCAGAGGGAAAAAATAAAGCAAAACCCCCACCCCCACCAACACTGGCAGAGCATGCCACTGTATATAAAGAGGGAGCAAACCCCATTCCATTTTAGCACTAAAAATGTTACCTAGCCGGGTAACGAAACGTTTGCAAGAAAACCAAGCTCAGAGAACCCCAAGGACTCCACAGGTCAACCCTGAGCTACACATATTCTCTTCTATTATTAAATAAATATGTTTTGTGTGAGTACAGCCAATCTGTGTTCATTAACTAAGGAGTAAAATTTGATAAATATTTAGTAATGACACTATGTTATTTAATTAAATTACAATTTAAACAATTGTAGAGTATGGGTTGATATTTGTTCAGTTTATTTTTTACATAGGTTAGCCTTCACGTTTTGTTGAGAACATGGGTTATATCTTTGTTTATAATACTCTAGCACACATTGTAATACCAAGGATAAGAAGAAGAGTATTTTCAGAACATTCTGCTAAGCAGCTTTCATTTTTGTCAGATTTAATTATTCTTGTTATCTTTTTCCTGCATGCATGTACAGTATTTGTTCATAAAATAATCCTATTCTTGAAATCCAGGTTGATTTGATTTTTTTTCACAAAAGGAATAATGGATTGCTTTAGCCAAGTTTTGTTGAATTGCTATGTGAATTAAAAATAGTCTTCAGTAGTTTTGTTTATGTTAAAAAAAGGTAATTTGTTGGAAATTTTAATTTTCTATTTATGCCATTTCGTTAGCAAGCTTGTACTTTAGCTTAACGAATAGCTTAGTTGTAGTATGTTTAATTAACATCATGTGATTAACGTCCATTTAAAAATGAGTAAATATCTTTATTGCTAAAGTATCCGAACAAATTATAAGAAACATGATAAAACTGCAAAGACAAAAAAAACAGCTTGCCACTACCGTATACGATATGCTCTAAACTACTAACCTTGTAATACAAATATTTCAGTTTGGTGCATACTTTTTTTGTGTGTCTTTGGGTCACTTTTGATTCCTGGTGACTGAATTTCTGAAATAACTTTTGAAACCCATAGGCTTTATGATTTTGTTAAAATATTAGATGGTTTTGAGTGCTCTGTTTTAATTGTTTTGATTTTTGCAAAACAACAAATACTTTACTTTCTCCAGAGAGAAATGCGAGGTAGTATCACCTTCAAGATTGTGCCAAGTTATCGCACTCAGTCTTCTTCCTGTGAGGTAATGAATGACTTGCTTTCTTCTCAGTCTTACAAGTAATTGCCTGCTTATGGCTGAATGTTATTGCTTTTTGGGAAAATGTTTCTGCCTGTGCTGTTAGATCACACACACCAATTTTACAACAAAGATAACGGAACAGAGGAGTAGTTCTATCCACATGCTGTACTGTTGCTATTTCATATTCATTACATCAATTCATTAAATATTCCATAATGGCCAAAAATGTATAATAGGCATATATAATATCTAAAATAAAGCAAAAATAATAATAATTAGGTCATGGAATAAAAAACAAACCTGAATAATATTTCAGGAGCTAGTAAACACATCTTGGGCAAGATAATTGAAAAAAACTTTTTTAAATCTGGCTTATTGATTATGATTATTTCGTAAAGAGATTTGCTGAAAAGAGGCAGTGATATGACAGGATTTTTTTTTAATTAAAAATGAATTCAGATTGATAAAAAAGCAGTGCTAACTTTGAGGAATAAGACAAATCAAAATAGTGAATACATCCTGTGAAAAAGCTGAGTATTTAATGTCGTCATACACTGCAAGATACTAACAATTACTATTAAAATGGTTTTGATGATTCTTAGTTAAAAAGCAAAAGATAAATAGAAAAAATGCAAGTAATTTTCTTCGATATGTGTTATGTTGATTTTATTACACTCTAGTCATAACCCATTTAAAGTACCAAATTTGTTTAAAAGCATGTATATATATGCATTTTAATTAAATAATTTACATATTTTCTGCTCCAAAAAGAAACGTTTCAGAATTATTTACAAAAATATGAAAAGAATAATAATGATTAACATTGCAGGTTTGTCCTCAGAAAGAAGTCAACTCCAGTGGGGCTTACTCTTAGGATATAGATTCCATCATGAAAAGTACACACATACACATATACATTGTGTGTGTGTGTACACATACAAGCACACATATACATATACAAACATAGTGATATTGGAAAAAGGACTAATAAGAGATCTACCCAGTACAAGTTTTGATCTCTACTACCAAGTGGTTTGGAAAAACATAACTCTTTTCATGTATAATGACAACAAAACTGCCATATGGATATAAAGTGATCTATTGTGTCTGCAGGCTAAAGCAAATATTATAATCCATCAAAAATTACTTGTTCAGTTTTACCTGTATGAACAAATCTTAGCTCTATAAATATTTTCTCTGTGTAGCTTTCCCCCACCTAAAATATTGGAGTACAGCTCCCATCACTTCATCTGACCAACCAAATTTGCTTGCTGTATGGGACTGATGGGAAATGTGGCCAGGACACCTTGAAGGAACTAGTTTTGGAAAAATTGGATTAGAGGAATCTATTTGGCAACATTTTCTTAGATTGCAGGAAGAACCTAACAGGAGAAGCAAGTTGGTGGAGAAGATTTATGAGACATACTGGCTGACAAAGTGGTAGTTACTTCTTGTCTCCTGCCAATTTTACCTAATAATATTTCATCCAAAGATAAATCAACTAAAGAATGCATCAATTTAAATCCATAAGGTAGCATTCCTTAATTGTGTGACCAACAAATGTTTTAGGTCTATAATTGCCATTATTCCTAACCAGAAGATTATGGAAGATGTAGCCCAACACATCTGAAGGTAGATCAGGAAAAGTTGGCCTGAGCTATTGGTGTTATTTTCTGTGACACTTAAAATCTTGAGAATATTTAAAATCTTGAGGTATTCCATATTATTGTATATTCAATAAATATGCTGCTGTTTATTTTGTTGAAAGAAGTAGGAATTCACTATATCTTATTTAATCCTAATTTAATAAGGCTTTGATGGAGCAAATTTTTGTGATACAGAAATAGGGCATTACAAAATAGGTGGAGATTAAGGAAAATGTCATAATATGAAAATATTAGAAATAACTCTATAATCTAGTTATGTATAACTCCAAAAGCTGCCATAATAAATATAAGACTGAAAATTAAATTATTAAGAATATTCTAATGTTACAGTAGTTGCCAAATTATAAACTTAATAGAAATCAATGACATCCCTGTGGAGCAGATTTAGACAAATTTAAATTTAATTTTGTTTTAAATATGCTTGAATGACCTCTTTAAGTTCTCTGTAATTTCATAACCTCTAAATCTGTAATGGCTCACTGTGAAACTGTTTGAAATACCTTCTCCAAGGGGCAATTAAATGAAACCAAAGGCTTCTGTTACCTCATCGCCAATATAAATGTTTTCAGTTGTATATTTTTGAGTGGTTTATGGTTAAAAGCCTATAGATGTATATAATATGCTTTGTTAGATCTGTTATGCTTAAATTCATTTTAAGAAAGGATGTTTTTCCTACTTAGCAAACACACTGGGAGAAATACTATGTAAGTGATGCCATACTTTAAAATATTGCATGCTCAAATGTATCAACTGTTCCTCTGTGTGGATTCTGGTAAAATATAGTATAGACTCCTAATGTATAAATACACAAAATTAAGTACTTTCCTTTTTTTAAAGCAGAATTCTATCATTCTGAAACAAAGTTGATTTGCCAGAAGCACATTTAAATTATTATGCAATATGCCTACAAATGCAAGTATGTCTACAACCTCTAAAGTCATTTTAATGAATAGAGACAGGTCAATCTTGTGAAGAAGGCTAATCATGGCATTTTTTATTTATTTTAAAATGGAAGGTAGAGGAAGATGAATACCTCAATATGTGTTTAACTGGATAGTAAATGTAAATTGACACAAATAATTATGCAACTAAAAAGTTATGTTGCTATCCCTACCCTATGCTAAATAGGTACCTGTGTAATTTTCCCAACCACAGGCCTCACAATAATGACAGAAGCAATGAACATGCCATTTATATTTCACATTTACTCATTTTTTTAAAAAAAATGCTGTCTGAATGCTTAAAGATGCATCATTCTGTCACACACAGTAACTGCAATTTTGGGGAAGGTACAATTCATAGATAATGTTGATAACAGATGTTGAAGCAGTACGTGGAAATTCTGTATAAGAATTTTTTTAAAAAAACCTGCTGTATCCAGAAAGATATACTAGAAGGAACATTAACTCCAGCAATTGAATCTTTGAAAAACATTAAGATATTTATTACCTCCAAAAGCTTTTATTTAGAGCATGGGCAGTAAATTGAAGCTCAAAATAAAATCCTTGGACTAAGCTTTTTGGAGGTGGATTGAGAACAGTTTCATTTATCTGAGTGCATTGGGAAGATGATCAAATACTTATGAATACTCAGTCATTGAGCAAAAAAGATGTATTATTCAGAGTTGGTTTTAGATTTGGACAATTAGTTTCCAGTAAAAATTAATTAAGATTAAGATTAATCTTGTTTTCTCAGACACCTACATGCTCAAAGTCTACTTGTTGCTAGAAGAAAATTTGAAAAATGGAAATTCATACTAATTTACATTAAACAGTGTAGTTGGAGCTTTTAAAATTAAAATGCAGGAATAAAACTATAAATCTGTAATGTACATATACTTTCATCTGATTTTACTTATTCTTTTTTCATTAACATATTTTCACTGTGATTACTGTTAACAATCCCAGATGTCTAACAATTGTACAGAAATAAAATTCCAAAATTTTTCCAAATGCTATTTACTTGTATAGCTGTACAACTACTAGTTACTATTAATTTTCAAATCATAATTATTACAAGTGTGTATGTGTGGAGACAGAGGGGGGAATATTAGGAAAGCTTTCAATTTTGTTTTGTTTTGTTTTTAAGAAGCATCTGAACTATGATTATATGGCTATATAAATGTGATGTATAAATAAAAAGGTCCAATATTAAAAGAAAGAATCTTTTATACATAGAAGACTTAACACAATGGAAAATATATTGTATGTGAAAACTGACTCCAAAACCAGAAGAAATCTACAAGCTTTTTTTTGACATTTTGGACAAGTCTTTCCTGAGGCTTCTGTATGAACTGCTAACAGTCACAGCCCATTTTCTTTATTTATATTGTAATTTAGTTCTTGATACATTATGCACTATAAGATGTTATATTCTAGCCTTTGTGCAAGAGTTCACAGAATATTTGATTAATTTTCTTTTTCTGATTACTGAGTACAGATGCATGGAATGTGAATTTCACTTCACACACACACACAGAGTGGCTTAATTAGAATAATTTTTCACTGTATGATTCAACTTTAACTTCAAACTGTGGTTTGCCATTTGGAAAATCTTTGAACAAACCATATACTTCCTCCTACTTCTTTCTTAATTTGCTCTTTCATGTGAATTAATGAACCATGGCTTTGGGTGTGTACTGCAAACCAGTACTGTATTTCACTCCTTGTTCACTCCTTGTTTTTCAGTTGCAATAATATTTCTGATACAGGCTTCCATATAGATTCCATTAAAGGAACTCAGCAGGTGACTGATTGAATCATAACTCATTAGAGTATATTGCTAAAAGCTATTGAGTGACTTAGAATACTTTTAAGACTGAAAATAAGATATCTTTGTTTCCTAAACACACCATTTCTTTTTTTTTAATTAACTAAATACAAAAAAATGAAGAAAAAGAAGAAAAATATGCACAATTATAAAAGAAGAAGGAAAAACAAAAACATACAAAGTATATATTTGCAGACATACATATATCAATAAATTACAGTTATCCATGGTTGATCTGTATTAATTAATTCTACAAACTGCTAAATAGTTGGAGTCATATACAGTGAAAAAGAAAGTACACCCTCTTTGAGTTCTATGGTTTTACGTATCAGGACATAATAAAAATCA